GACATCTTTAAACGTTCCAACATCCAAATTATAGGGGTACCAGAAGGGGAGGAGGAACAGCCACGAGTGGAAAACTTATTTGAACAAACAATAAAGGAGAACTTTCCCAATCTGGCAAAGGAAATAGACTTCCAGGAAGTCCAGGAAGCTCAGAGAGGCCCAAAGAACTTGGACCCAAGAAGGAACATACCAAGGCACATCATAATCATATTAGCCAAGATAAAAATGAAGGAGGGAATTCTAGAAGTAGCAAGAGAAGAAGGCAGTCACCTACAAAGGAGTTCCCATCAGACTGTTGGCTGACTTTTCAAAAGAGACCTTACAGGCAAGAAGGGGCTGGAAAGAAGTATTCCAAGTCATGAAATCCAAAGACCTATATCCAAGATTGCTCTATCCAGCAAAACTTTCATTTAGAATGGAACAGCAGATAAAGTGCTTCTCAGATAAGGTCAGGTTAAAGGAGTTCATCATCACCAAACCCTTATTATATGAAATGTTAAAGGGACTTATCTAAGAAAAAGAAGTTAAAAAAAGATGAACAGTGAAAGGACAGCAAACTCACAGTTATTAAGAACCACACCTAAAACAAAAGCAAACTAAGAGGACAGCTAGATCAGGAGCAGAACCATAGAAATGAAGATCACGTGGAGGGTTAGCAACAGGGGAGTGGGAGAAGGAGAAGGGGGGAGAAGGTACAGAAAATAAGTAGCATAGATGGTAGGTAGAAAACAGATGGGGGGAGGGCAAGAATAGTATGGGAAATATAGAATCTAAAAAACTTGAGACACATGGTCATAAACTAAAGGGGAGTTATGGTGGGGGAGGGGTGTGCAGGGTAGAGGGGTATGAAGCAGGGGAAATAGAACAACTGTAATGGCATAATCAATAAAATATATTTAAAAGAAAAAAGAAAAAACCCAATCCTGTAATAAGCTTTGTTCTTTCTCTCCTCCTTCCTACGTTTCTTCCTTCCGTCACATTAAGTGGGAATGCAGGGTCAGGGTCTGCATTGTTTAGTGCACTTGGTACATATTTCCCCAACAGGACCATGGGGGTTGCGTATAAAGACAGCTGAAAAGTGATCGGACATTTATTATCAGTGAGACCCTGTGCTAAGTGCTTTACGTGTATTAACTCATATTAATCCTATAAGGTAGGTGCTGCTTTCATTCTTATTTTACAGATGAGGAACTGAGGCCAGAGCAAGTATCTAAGCCTCTCACGGGCATACTGGCCTTGGGACCAAGCTGGGATTTGCACAGCTCCACGAGGCAAGTTTTATTATCCCCATCTCTACGGATAAGAATATTTTGATACACATTAACAAACTCGACCAGGCTCATACACTAATAAAGGAGGGTCAGTGTTTGAATATGGCCTGTGTCACTCCAAAACAGGGTTTCTAGATCCCTCCACACATTCCCAAATTCCTTCAGGAGAGTGTCCTGAAGTGGGTCTTCCCGTGCTCACCTTTCACGGCTCCTCTCTGGCTTCCGCCAGAGCGCGGCCATCAGGACAGCGAGGTCTGCCTCTGGCCGGGTCATGCCTCTGTTGGGTCTCGCCGCTCTGAGGACCATCACAGCCTGGGTCCCGGGATGCACTGGATTTCCTCCCCTCTCCTCTCATCTAGATCACTTTTTGTTTCTAGAACTCTCTCAGTTGGGCACAGTCTTGGTTGTGGGTAACAGAAAACTTTACTGGAAGAGGTCTTACCAGTAAAGAGAATTTATTGTCTCATGTAACTGAAAAGCTCAGAGGGAAGATGACCTCTGGGTGTGGCTTGTTCAGGACTCCGGCTCCGTGTCCCTGGGATGCTCTCAGCTCTGCCTTCCTCCGAATGTTAGCTTTTGTCCTTGGGCTGGTTTGCTCTTAACAGTAGCAAAATGGTGTCCAGCAGCAACAAGACTGCATACTTGCTTCTTCCGCTGTCATTATATAACCAACCTGAACTTGGCTCTGAGTGGATTGTCTTGGGTTATATATATACTTGTCCTTGAACCTGTCATGTGCCAATGGGGATAATCCTTGGGGAGTGGGGGTGAATCCTTTCCTCCCCTTCCTTTGCCTCCACTTTTGATCTTGCATAGAAGCTGCCATTAAAAAAATATTTTAAAAAAGATTTAATTTATTTACTTTTAGATAGAGGGATATAGAAAGAGAAGGAGAGAAACATTGATTAGTTGCCTCTCGCACACCCCCCAACCAGAGTGCTGGCCCATAACCCAGGCTTGTGCCCGGACCAGGAATTGAACTGATAACCTTTTGGTTTGCAGGGTGACATCCAACCCAGTGAAGCACACCAGCCAGGGTGAAGCTGCTATTTTTAAGACAGTGACGAGAAGAGTCCCTCTGTTGGGGGAAAGCCCCAAAGTTCTAAATTCAGGATCAGTTCTGAAGAACTGACATGTAGCCTTATTTAAATTCCTAAGAACTTTAATAGGAGAAACTTACATACATGGGCATTTAAATTCCTAAGAACTTTAATAGGAGAAACTTACATACATGGGCAAAGCAGCTGGTTTCTCCCAGTGGTGGCGACCGGGAAAAAATCCACACCCCCTTCCAGGACAGAGTCTCTTTTTTACGGGGGTTAATAGTAAAACCATATGGTGGGTAGTCACCAGGCCACCAGAGAGGACAATGCATTCCTAAGTTAACAGATAACATCAGGCGGTTATCCATACCGTGCCTTTATTATCTTCTTTCCTGGGGGCATTCTCCCTTTCTGGGTAGTCAGCCAAGCCTGAGGCTACAGAGACTTCAACAGCCACAGACAGTTAAACAGAGAGCCCAGCATTTCCCAGACGTCTTTACTACTGGAGCCATTTTGCATCTCTGACTTCCCCTATACCAGGGTCCACAAGTGGGGACCGCACAGCAGGAGGTGAGCAGCAGGCCAGGAGCCGTATTTGCAGCCGCTCCCCGTCCACCACTCACATTACCACCTGAGCTCCACCAGTCTCTGGTGCCAAGAAGGTGGGGGACCACTGCCTCACGCCTCCACATTTTGCCAGCAGATTGGCATTCAGGCTTTCCACGTCATGATAATCTTTGTGGCAGTGGATGTTCTGTGCAGAGAATGGGAGAAATACGTTCCCATGAGGCTCATCATCATAGATCCACTTATGAGGGAGCAGTTAGAAGGGGGAGGTGAGGTATGGAAGACAAGGCTGGGTGGCAGACTTGCTGGAGCGTTTTCCGGTGGGTAAAACATGATCCCATGCTCATGTATCTGAGCCTCTCCCCATCCTCACTGAAATGCTCTTTCCTATCATGCAGGGGAAGATTCTTTTCAAGTCTTGACCTCCAGATTGTCTTCCCTTGGAGGCCTAAGCCACCAGGGCTGCTCCTCCAGAGGGGCTGCTTCCCCTTCTGCCTCGGGAGCTACCTTTTCCATGGATAATTAATAGGGGGAATGTCCACTCCTTTTAAGAGCTCCCCATCTTCAAGTCCTTTCTAGTCTAGGCATCAGATCACAATAATCCCACAGCAGTAAAAACAAAACATGGGTAGCCCCAGGCAATGGTCTCCTACACTTCCTGCTACTATTGTTAAATGATAATAGAATGCAGGAGGAGAGCCTGACTTAGCTTAAAAAATATGCTTGCCCGGGGCAGAATTGTAGGCACCAGTGGCATGATAAGTTTGGCATTTACACATGCGGGCATAATTTGCACTCAAACAGATTGGCACTAACTTTAAACAATAGAGGATGAACCCTGACTCACAGGTTCAATTCCCAGTCGGGGCACAAGTCACAAGCCTGGGTTGCAGGTTTGGTCCCTGGCTGGGGTGTGTATGAGAGGCAACCAATCGATACTTCTCTCTTGCATTGATGTTTCTCTTTCCCTCTCTTTCTCCTTCCCTTCCCCTCTCTCTAAAAATAAATAAGTAAAATCTTAAAACAAAACAATAGAGGATGATTGGGCAAGAACAATGCCAGACAGACCAGCCTACCCTAGGTGTGATCGTGTGTCTGCATGACAGACACTCTGAGTCATGGTGGCGATCCGCAATCCACAAATCATAGGAGATATGTCCAGTGTCATTCAATGCACAGCCACTGGTTGAGCACCTACTCTGTTTCCCTGGTAGTGGACCCGGAGTCCACCACAGTCTAGTGGGGAAGGCTGACTGGTGAACACAGCATTGTAGTGCAGCAGGGTTCATGTTATAACAGAGACGTGACTGAAGTACCGAGGGGTAAAGCCAGGGGCCTGAGCTGCTGGGGGCAGCCAAGGCGGGTTCCCGGAGAAGCCATCCTTCAGTGCAGAGAGAGGAGCAGAGCGACATGAACCCTACCTCCTCTGTTCACTAGCTGCCCCAGCTCCAATGGTCCCCCGTCATCTAGCTGAGCTCCAGGCAGCTCCTGCTCCCAGCATCGGGGCAAGTCTAATCAACTGTTGTTGGCAGTGGCTGGGCAAAGGAAGGAGAGGCCTTTCAGCCTGGGGGGTCATTCTCCCTCCACATCTCCACTATTCCTCAGGCCACCCCATGGGAGCTTACAATATAAAAGTGGTGTGTCTTTTGTGTGAACACAGCTTAAGGACAGTCCTCTACCTTCTTCCCTCCAGATTACCCTCGAATTCCTCCGAAGTGAGGGACCCCTCAGGCCCTCCTCCAGTGGACTCCTGAAATCTCTACTGTAAAAAGTCAAATCCTTTGCCCTTTATGTGTGTCAGGCAAGTTGGAAGCTTTCCAAGGTGGTTTGCTAGGGGATGTAAAGAAGAAACAAATGAAAATAAATGTTAGAAAAAGAGGAGAATAAAAATAGTCATCCATCGAGTGGAGCATTCACATAATCACTTTGAACTTCATCCTTATGCCTGGTACCGCTGCGTGGACATATGGACCCTGTGGATGTCTGACGGGGCTCCCCTCCCTTGACTCGGTCTGTTCTCCAAATGTAGACGTGGGCAGGGCTCCCAGAAGAGGCTGTGACGTGGAGTCACTATTTCCCCTTTGTTCATCAAGTTCCCTCTAACAGTGAAATCATTCTGGCCTCTGAGCTTCAGGCTCTTACGGTTGGTGCCTCAGGTAGGAAGCCACCTCTGGTGGCCAGGACTTTCTTTGGGATGGGGAGATTTGGTTTGACTGTTTTAGAAAATGCATCCATTTCCCTGGGATCTGAAGATTTCTGCTCAGTTGGCTTTCTGCCTCCTCCCTTGTGACCATATATTCAATTCTGACTTTCTACGTGGCTGGTGGCTGTCATTGGTGACAAGGAGGCAGAGCCTTCTCACCTCCTTTGCAAGGAAGAGGCTTACACCTCCCCAGTTTGATGCTTACTGCTTTGCCCTAAGACTTTGTTTTCTGTGGAACTGTAGTACTGGCAGGAGAGAATGTGCTAAAGGGTGTGGATCCGAATGAACCTGTAGAACCTCAGGCCTGGAAACAACTCAGGGGTCATCAACTCTGCCTCCCTCAAGTTGCAGAGGAGAACACTAAAATTTAGAGAGGTAAATGGACCCTCTCAAGGTCACACACCATATCCATGATAGAATCAGGACTGGATGCAAGGTATCTTTATTTTTCCAGTCTTGGTAACTTTCCAAAGGGTTTCAGACTGTCCTCTGACTAGTCCTGGGGGCTGGGGGAGCCCCGTAGTAGCAGTCTGGGTAGAGGGAGCCGCGCACCTTCCCTCCCCAGGAGATGAGGCTTTGTTTTCCATTTTGGGCTTCTGTTAAAATTTTGCTTCAACAAAGCGTTTTACAATTTAAAATGATATTTGAAAACTGCTGAATGCTGCTGTGGATGTTTAGGAGGTGATTTCAAAGACTAAGACGGAAAGTGCTCTCAAAAGCTTATACTTCCTTTAGATAGAGAACCAAACATTTATTGCTTCTCTGGGGAGAAGGCTTAAAATGCTCTTTAATTCTTCATTGTCATCATTTCTTTCCCTGAGTAGATTTAAAGGTTAAACAGAATCAGGAATAACATAGGAGGGGAAATAACACAGAAAGGGATATCCGGGAATAGGTGTGCCTCCTTCTATTTTACTTAATGCTGGCTTCTCCCAAATGTCCAGGACTAGCCTGGTCCTCCCATCTGAGTGCACAGACATGGCTGAGGATGTAGAAGGTCAAAGAAAGGACAGAGGTGGAATTACAGAGTTGAGGCAGTTGTAGGCCCGACCAGTGACCAAGGTTTTTCCCCCTGTAGTTCATCTCATTCCACACACAGATAAGGCCTTGGAGTTATGGAAGGTTGACCACATTGCCAGGTAGCACTGACCTCTAAAGAAATCCAAGAAGGAAGCAAAGGAAGGGATCTCTGGTTGCCAAAGCAACAGGGAGGCAGAAAAATATCCCAGTAACTGTTCTCACATCCTTGATGAGCGTGACTTGAATTTGAGTTATAAATCACAATTTTTCCTAATCTTTCAACTAGGTCAAATCATGAGTTTCTTTGTGGACAGTTCATTCTGGAATGATTCGGATTGGTATTCTGACTTTGAAAATTTCACTGGCACACCACCCACAGAAAAATCTTATAGCCCCTGTCACCTGGACACTGAGAGCCTCAACAAGTACGCTGTGGTTGTCATCTATGCCCTGGTCTTCCTGCTGAGCCTGCTGGGAAACTCCCTGGTGATGCTGGTCATCTTACACAGCCGGGTCAGCCGCTCTGTTACTGATGTCTACCTGCTGAACCTGGCCCTGGCTGACCTGCTCTTTGCCCTGACCTTGCCTATCTGGGCTGCCTCTAAGGCAAAGGGCTGGATCTTTGGCACACCGCTGTGCAAGGTGGTCTCACTCCTGAAGGAAGTCAACTTCTACAGTGGTATTCTACTGCTGGCCTGTATCAGCGTGGACCGCTACCTGGCCATTGTGCATGCCACACGCACACTGACTCAGAAGCGGCACTGGGTCAAGTTCATATGCTTAGGCATCTGGACACTATCTCTGATCCTGTCCCTGCCCATCTTCATCTTCCGTGAGGCCTATCAACCACCTTTTTCCAGCCCAGTCTGTTACGAGGATTTGGGTGCCAACACAACAAAGTGGCGCATGGTGATGCGGATCCTGCCCCAGACCTTTGGCTTCCTCTTGCCCCTGCTGGTCATGCTGTTCTGCTATGGGTTCACCCTGAGCACACTGTTTCAGGCCCACATGGGACAGAAGCACCGGGCCATGAGGGTCATCTTTGCTGTCGTGCTTGTCTTCTTGTTCTGCTGGCTGCCTTACAATCTGGTCCTGGTAGCAGACACCTTCATGAGGCTTCGGGTCATTGAGGAGACCTGTCAACGCCGAAATGACATTGGCCGAGCCCTGGATGCCACCGAGATTCTGGGCTTCTTCCACAGCTGTCTCAATCCCCTCATCTATGTCTTCATTGGCCAGAAGTTTCGCCATGGACTCCTCAGGATCATGGCCACCCATGGCCTGATCAGCAAGGAATTCCTGGCCAAGGAGGGCAAGCCTTCCTTTGTTGGCTCTTCCTCAAGGAACACTTCTACCACCATCTAAGACCCCCACCCCTGTTGCAGCCCCACAGGGCTCCTTCCCTCCTGCCAGCACCCAAGACTCATGTCTATGGGCTAGTCACAGTCTCTGTGTCAGGACAGCCCCCCACTGAGGTCACAGGAAGTTGCTGAGGCCTCAACCTCACCAGGCCCCATTGTATGGCTGAGAAAGCCTGCCTTGAAGCCTCACCCCTCACTGTAATTACTATGTCATCTGTGAGAGCTCTGTGCATTCTACCACTGAGCCCATAGCACTCTGTCCTCAGAGACATTTCAAAGATACGCTTTATAGTGAGTTCGAAAAGTTCCCAGCCTTGGGAGCTATCAGTGGCAAACCCCACAGTTGCTTCCCTAACTCTCCCTTTCCTTGCTTGCTGGCCAAGTCTGCTTCCCTTGAGAGAGGCTGAAAATGATATATACCTCCACAATTTCTTTAAGCCAGGAGTGGCCATATTTTCCAGTCTGACTAGGAAGACTTACAGGCAAGTCTGTGCTGGTAAATCAGTCCCCTAGAGAAACAAAAGTCCTGCCTTGTAGCATTTGCCAAGTTCTGTGTTATAACTGCTCCCACCATGGCAATTTCAACGGTGGTGGTGTTTAGCAACCAGCTCACAAAATTCTGGAAAACATAGTAATCTGCATTGAGCAAAACATTGCTTAAGAGGAAGTCTGGGGCCAGGGGACTTGTGGAAGATACTCCTGATTGAAAAAAAAGAGAGAGATATACCTTCTTGGATCTTGCCTTTGAATGTGGTTATAGTATATGATCTGCGGTATAGTATATGACGTGGGGCACCATTTTTGTGACTATGAGGCAAAAAGCCTAATACATTTAGGCTGATGGAGACAAAGGATAAAAAGAAACTGAGAATAAAGAGCCCAGAAATAAACCTAAGCATAAATTGTCAAATGATTTTCAACAATGGTGCCAAGACTATTCAATGGGGAAGGTTCAACAAATGATGCTGAGAAAATTGGAAATCCACATGCATAAAAATGAAATTGGTCCTGGCTGGTGTGGCTCAGTGGATTGAGTGCCAGCCTGAGAACCAAGGGGTCGCTGATTCAATTTCCAGTCAGGGCACATGCCTGGGTTGCAGTTCAGGCCCCCAGTAGGGGGCACGTGAGAAGCAACCACACATTGATGTTTCTCTCCCAGTCTTTCTCCTTCCCATCCCGTCTGTTTAAAAATTTTTTTTTCGACCTTTTACCTTATACTATGCACAAAAATTAACCCAAAATGGATTGAAGACCTAAACACGAGAGCTAAAATTATTAGACTCTTAGAAGAAAACGTAATGGAAAAGCTTTATTTGGTTTGAAGTTGGGGATGAAATGAGCTTCAGGAATGAGGTTTAGGTCAAGGTTGAGACTGTGATCTGAGGTGGAGGTTAGAGTTGGAGATGTGGTTGCGGGGAGCTGGGTGGTGTAACAGCTCGGGCTAAGGTGAAGCATCAGAGTATAGGGAGAGATCCGGAAGCAGGAAAGGTTAGTAATGATGTGAGTGAGACATAGGAAGGTTCCGGATATGGAGGGAGGCTTAGGACTGGGGTGGGTGTGAAGGTGTAGTGAGTCCCAGGGAGAGGTGTTAGAGATAGAGTGAGTGGCTGGGATGGGTTAGTGGCTACAACAGTAGTCACTGCTATTTGGTCCAGTCAGTGGCTGGAACAAAAAGTCATCACCGGTAGGGTCACCATCTTCTCTGGAGCATTTTCTGAAATGTGGCCAGGAAGGAGGCGCTTCTTCCTGCCCAGCTTGAGATGCCAAATTCATTGGTGAGGAAGGAGTTAGGGGCTCCAGCCGTAAGAGATGGATCTGATTAGGGGAGAAGATAGAAGAATGTGCAAAGAATCCAGGGAGGAAGGCTGGGAACAGGGCCTGGGAACCTCCCTTTCCTCTTCTTCCCTCCCCTAAGCCCCTTCCTACCTCTTCCACTGTAACCCCCAAAGTTCATCTTCCTCCACCTCAAAGCCAACTCCATCATCGGCTTTGGTAAGTTAATAAGAATCTATATTGGGTCTGGGGAAATACAAATGACTAATACACATTGGAAAAAATGCTTGGCCTCATTAGTAACTTGGGATGTGGGAATCAAACAGCAATAAGATGACTTGGAAATGTTTTAACAGGAGAGGAATGGAGTCAGATCGTCTCCAAACAAGTGCACCATTGTTCTGTTAGATTTGTTCTTGCGGTGCGGAATTCTCTGGGTATGGCTCAAGATGTAAATGATTTGGATTTTGGATCTGTAAAAAATGGGAGGATGTGGGTACTGAAATAGCATGGTGTATTGAAATATCAAAGACTGGTATTTTGATCACCAGATAGGGGAAGGGTTAGATACCCAGTGAAAGTCAAGGAGAGAGGTCACCTCAGGGAGCAGCTAAATATTCAGGATGGTGCTGAGATCAGGGATGGGGTGCGTTTTAGGGGGGCAATGGGACATCGGCGACAGCAGAGAGTTTGGGACGGTTACAGGTGTAGCTGTGAACAAAACTAACGTTATTTCTGTGTCCCAGACTTCTCCCACCTTTAAGTTTTAATGTTGTGACCTTGAACCAACCTTACTGTGATTAGCAAGCACGTCTGTGTTCATTAATGATTAATTTTAATAATTAAAACGATTAATTATTAATAATTAATGCTGCCTTAATTATTTTTGTTAGTAAGAGTGGGAATCATGTGATACTGGAGTCAAATATAAACACTGAAACGATGATAATGTCTATGATAAACCATCATCTATCACAAGACCACCAGGAGGTATGTCTCCTAGTGTGTACTGCATTTTTTGTCCCTTTGTCTTGTCCATCATTAGTCCTTAAGTTACACTATCAGAAAGTACTGTAACAGGGGCTGTTAGTGGAGAGTAATCTGTGCAGATTGCTGTGTTGCCTATCTGCTGCAGCCCTATGTCGCTGTAAGTGAATTACTCTCTAATAAATTGTTATACTCTATGGAGTTGCCTGCATCGTTTTTTGGTCTTAAGGTACCTTCTCATTACCGTGGCCATTACACCTCTGCCCTACCATCAAACAGATGGGACTGGGGTTAAGGATGGGCTGAACATCAAGGACAGGGTTGTTAGGGGTGGGGGTGGGATATGAATGTATGTTCTGCCCAATGCTTGCTGGTTTAAAAAACTTTAAAGTGGTTTTGTAGGCTTGGCTAAAATGTACCAGCCTCCAAGTAATTATATTAAAATATACTATTTTCCCATATATTAGCTCCCCTCTGACCAACCTCAGCCCCTCAGGATCCCTTATCCTCTTATATTAGTGGATCATTCTTACTAGTTCCAGCAAAATAGTGATCATCTGGATTTTATCCCATGGAGGTTTAAGATCTTCTCTTTCCCAGCAACTTGCACTTTAAGTAGGGTCTTCTAGAGGCTGAAAGACCTCATAGGTGCAGATGAGATAACATGATCATCTCTTCTTTGATCTAAGGGTCTTCCCGAGGGTGACCAGTAACCAAGAAATTGTGACGGAATACAGCCTTTTGCTGTCTCCACGCAGAGGTTGGAGGGGCCAGAAAGCTACAAGTGGTTAAGAGCTGAGTTCTCACCACCAATGCTTTCATCCATCCTGGCTTTATTTTAAATCTTTCTTCAATTTATTTTTTAGAGAGAAACATTAATTTGTTGTTCCACTTATTTATGCACTCATTGGCTGCTTCTTGTATGTGCTCTGAGTGGAGATACAACCCATAACCTTTGTGTATGTGGACAATGCTCTAACCAGCTGAGCTACCCTGCCAGGGCCCACACTGACATTGTTTGAAATTTTATTATTTATTTTTAGAGAGAGGGAAAGGGAGGGAGATAGGGAGAGAAAGATGAATGGGTGAGAGATATATCAATCGGTTGTCTCTTGCATGCCCCCAGCCCAGGACCTGGCCCGCAACCCAGTCATGTGCCTTGACTGGGGATCAAACTGGCGACCTTTCTGCTCATAGGCTGGCACTCAAGCCACTGAGCCACTTGAGCCAGGGCTGGTATTCTGCTTTTAAATTCAAGATCTTTCTTTTAACCTTGAGGGTAGAAGTGAATTAAGGAGTAAAAAATAAACAGAATATGTTAACTTAGACTTTCTAAAATCAGTCTTCCTTTTTTGTCAAAGTATTTCAGGTGCATTGTTTAGTTTTTATAAATATAGCTTATAATAAGACCCAGCAGCATCCCTCCTGCTGCACTCCCTACAGGCAAAAGCAACAACTTTCAGCTCTCATAGCTGTTTTCTCTAATAGCGGTCTACATATTTCTAAATACCATGCTTACACTGCTTGCTCTTGACTTCCCCCCAGTTTTAGATACCACCTATGGACTTGCTAGTTTGGCTTCTGAAGATACACCATTCTCTAGACCTTCACCTGCTTTTACCCCCGTCCAGCAAACACCAAAGCTGCCTGCCCCCCACACCCTCTCTGTTCTCCCAGAACATAAGGTACCATACATTTTAGTTAAATCAACATGCAATGTTTTTGTTTATAATGATTATGTAAAAAATTATTCACAGTTGGGTACAATGTTTATGTTTCCTTTTTTGTACAAGTTTTGTTTAACAATAGATTTTTTCCATGTACTTTTCATTATTTTGGTCCCAAATGTCTTCCTTAATGCATTCACATTCATTGGACAATCTATTAATTTTTTTCTTTCCTGGAGATCTCTCTCCTTCATAGTCCTGTTGCAACCTGGAAAGATAACTCTCCCAGCATGCTCCTTTTTTCCCCTAAATTGCTGGAACTCAGGTTTTGTGAAAATTTCTCCTATTATTTCTTTGCTACATTTCTATCCTTTGTTTTCTCTATTCTCTTTTCCTAGGATTCCTCTTATTTGGGTGTTAAACCCCCAAATTGAGTCTCTAATATTCTTATCACTTTCTGCCTATTTTTCAATATTTTTACCTTCCCATTTTCTATGAAGCTACCCTTACTTTTATTTCCTGGACCTTTCATTGGAATTTAAAGTTTCTGCTGTCATATTTTAAATTTCCAATGGGCTTTTTTCCTTTTCCTTAATATTCCCTTTTATGGCCCCTCTTTCTTGTCTCACAGATGCAACATTTCCTCTTATCTCCCTGAAGGTATTATGAATTTTTTTGAAGATTTCATTAGATTCCTTCTGGGTTTTTTCTTCTGGTCTGGTAACTCAGTTACCACTTTATATCTACTTTCTTTCATTAAAGAAAATCTCTTATCTGTTATTTTCTCTGTTTTTGTATTGTGTGGGATTATGCTTCATAAACACATTGTGCCATTTTCAGTGATTTTGAAAGGGATCCAAGGTGAAAACATTTTTCCAATCCTCCATCTTTCTGATACAAAATTATCCTGGATTCAGAAAAGAAACATCCTTACTTTAAAGTCACATTTAGATTGCTCTATTATCTTTAGTTCCTCAAGTGTGAATTCTTGTTATGCCAGCTTGTTATGCTAGCTGACTATTGATTGTAGTGGCTGTCAGTTCTCTATAGTGTTTGATTGTGAGCTCATCTACTGAAGAGTGTGTTTTCATGGGAGTCTTGCCTGTGTCCTCGCTTATGAAGGGGCCAGGTCTCGGCTGTCCTTGCCAGGCCCCACTGAGTCCCACAATGCAGAGCATTTTGTGTTATTGTCCTTGTTGTCTGGTCCCAGGTTTCCACACCATTCCAAAGGGTGCATTGGAGTTCTCACCACTTGCTACTCAGGCTTGCAATTTTGAGCTGTTGCTCAGGTGGCCCTCTTTCTCCTCTTTCCCTCATAGTCTAGGGCAGGCAGCTCACTTGAGGATCATGTCTCAAAGCTGAAGGTGTTTTTCTAGCCCCAGCCAAGGGCTGGCCATCTCTTTCCTAGTTCCTGGCTTTTTGCCGAAATCCAGTTCCAGTTCTTAGCTGTGCAGGGGTCTGTAGACCCACTGGTCTTACCATCGCAATCCTAGACCAGTTCTAGTATTCTCTTGTGTCCCCATGGCTTCAACACCTGCTCCATGATAAGTCAATACATTTCTAAGTTTACTTTTTATTTCTGGCCCTCAGAGATCTCAAGCTCTCTTTTCTATGTCTCTCTTTGCTCTTTATCTCAGGCATTTATTTAAACATTAAAAATATATGTTATCTAACATTTCTGTGTATGGTGTGTGTATATGCATTGTTGCTTCCCATGCCTCCTCACTCCATCATCATGACAGGTGTCAGTAACAAGTCAAATAAACGGAAACAATTTCCCTTTTTGTTCTTCATTTCCTTCCCTTAAAGATAAGCAGTGTTAAAACTTTCTCCCAGTGAATTTTAAAAAAAGATTTTATTTTAGAAAGAGGGGAAGAGGGGTAAAAAGAGAGGGAGAAAAATATCAATGTATGGTTGCCTCTTGTGCTCCCCCTGCTGGGGACCTGGCCTACAATCCAGGCATGCGCCCTGACTGGGAATCGAACCCGTGACTCTTTGTCTCACAGCCCGGCTGTCAATCCACTGAACCATGACAGCTAGGGCGCTCCCAGTGAATTTTAAAAGCCAACTTGAAGGACACGTTAACCAGGTTTCTAGTTAACTGAGAATGTGTATGTGTGGGTTGCATACACATGTATTGGAAGGGAATGATCCCATGTTTTCTCAGAATTAGTACCCCATTAAATTTATTGGGGCAAAAAACATATAAGTTTCAAGTGTACATTCTATAATACATCATCTGTGTAGTGCATTGTGTACTCACCACCCAAAGTCTAGTCTCCCTCCATTGCTATATATTTGACCCCCTTTATTCTCTTCATTTTCCCCCACCCCTGCTCCCCTCTGGTAATCTTCATAATGTTAAAAACCCCTTATTTTATCCAGGTTTATGTTAATGGTGTGGGAGAAGTAAGATCTAGAAGGTGAGTGGGAAGGTACCTCTGAAGAAATGCAGTCACTTCCGAAATGGGAAGAAATCGTATTGCTCAACAGAAACCTATGAGGCCACATCCGTACCTCTCTCGGTTCCTAAATTGTAAACAACGAAGCTGTCTTCCTGAAAGAGCTGGCTTGGCTCCAGCTTTGAAAGTGTTGAGGATGGAGGGAGACTGAGCAAGTAAGGCCTGAGGGCAGCAGTGCGGGGCTCTCTGCTTTGCCAGCATCCTTGTGCCCTCCCTCCTCTTGGCTGGGATCCTGATGATACCCAGCAGGTGCTGTCCTGACCATGTTCCCCAAGGCACTTAGAAAACACATGCTAATAAGAATCACATAACCTCTTAACTCATTATGCCTACTATGTATCCAACTTATATTAGACCCTTAAAACAATAGCAGGTATTGTAGAAATGAAACATAGGGGGCAAAGGAAACTTCTGAATTATGGATGTGTGAGGAGTGCATGAAATTCCCGTGCATCAGGGTGACTGGTACAAAGAGATCTATCTGGGGGTCCTAGTGTACTACAAGCTGGACCTGAAGGTTTGGAAAAATGCTTCTAATTAAATGAAAGAAAGAAAAGAAAGACTTAGTAGATCTGTGACCTTAAATATTCACTTCGGCTTTCTGAACCTCAGTTTCCTCTTCCATGAAATGAAGTTTCATTAGGAAGCTCCAGTTCTGAGAAGAGATGCTCTAAATTTGAGAATCTACCAAAATGTACAAATTGGGCTTTAGCTCTCTGGGTACTTAACACGAAACTCTACCTTTGCTCAGATCACGATTATTAGTAGGGGCTCCAAAGGAGGCCACTTCTTAATTTGCTTTTTTCAGACAGTTAATGACCAGGTCTAACATGAGGAGTTTCTGAGCAGACTCCCTCCTTCCCCCTTTTCCTCTCCTTCCTCCCCTCTCACCCTCTAGTACCTTCCTTCCTCAAATGTCAGCAGTTCAGTTCTCTGAGGGTAAGCGGGACCCTTGGCAAAGGGGCAAGCAAATACCTCTGAATGA